TATAATTATTTATTATTATTATTATTATATTTAACAATTTTTTGTTTTTGTTTCTTAATATTGTCCTTTTTTATAGATACTTTGTACTTAATATAAATATGTAAACATTTGAAAAGTAAACAACAAAAAAGATAAAACAAGCACACATTTCAGAGGACCGTCGATTAAAGTCGACGGGGGTGGTGGAGGGCCTCTACAGGTTGATCTAGCTTTACCGAATAAAATTTTTGTTTAAATTGAAAATAAAATCTGATCTATAATTGGAAAATGTCAAATTTAGCCAAAATGTATGTAATCCTAACGATATTCGATAAAAGCAAAACAACCTTATAGAATGATAACATAGTGCTCATTTATTTCCCAATTTTTTTTGTAGATAATATATATACTCTCTATTTTTTAATAAAATATTGTACATTATGAACTATAGTAATTAAATTGTAATGTTATATACTAGTAATGCTATACATTTTTATTTGTAAATTTTGTGAAGAGATGAGATAAAATAAAAAATATTAAAAAAGAACACATTCAAATAAAAAGAGGACCGCCGATTAGACCCTAAGGTCGGCGGGGGTGGTGGAGGGCCTCTACAGATTGATCCATTTTTACTGAATAAAATTTTAGAGGTTTTAGATAGTTGAAAATATATAAATTAATATTTTAATTATAAAAAAATGCAAAGTCAAATTATTCCAAAATGCATTTAATTAAAATGATATTCGGTAAAAGTGGAGCAATTTTATTAAAATAAATCGTCGATTAAAGTCGGTGCAGGAGAAGAGTCTCTACAGATTGATTTGCTTTTATCGAATAAATATTCGATAAAGGTGGAGCAACGAGAAATTTAGTAGGAATTAGTAAGAAAAGAAACAGTTAATCAAAGTAAAGTTTGAATTTTACTTATGAAATATATTGTATTGGATAATATCGTTGAATGACTAAAAATGTAATGACCAGCTCATTTGAACTGTATCTTGACTTTCTATCTGACCATTTCTTGTTACAAAAAGCAGAAATAATGTTAAGTAATTTAAAATGCCTAAAATTCGTTATTTCAGAAAGCTGTGATTGACTGAAAATTAGGATAAGATAGGTAGGTAATTTAAAATATTCTTTAATATAGTTAATAAGATTTAATTTTCGTTTTATGAAAATACACATCTCTTTCATACATATTCAATCATGCACAATATTCTTGCATTTCTTATTGTACATATAAACACGTAGCACGGACATGGCTTATATTCTTCCGAAATGTCTGGATAAAAAAATCGGAATTTGCGCGATTAATTAGTTATTAAAAAAAAGGTAATTTAGTTTTCGACGATAGAAAGTTGCTTTTTTAAATATTATTAATTTGATTAATTTTCAAGAAATATGTCTACTGCTAGTTTTCGACAAAAATAATTTTTTTTTTTAATTTTTAGTTTGCTTAATTTACAAGAAAAAATAATAGAACGCATGCATGTAAGCCTTATGCAAGTTTTCGACGGTAGAAAGATGCATAGTTAAACATTTTTAGTTTGTTTAACATACAAAGGAAAATAATAAAACGCATATGCGCCTCCTGTGAGTTTCGAAAGAAAAAACAGTGCTTTATTAAAAATGTTTAGCTTGCATAATTTACAAAAGAAAATAATAAAACGCATATATGCCTCCTGCAAATATTTGACGATAGGCAGTTGCTTTTTTAGAAATTTTTATTTTGTTGAAGTGGCTGCAAGATCTTAATTTTCAAAAATAGCGCACATTATTGTCTTTGAAACGGCTGCGGTGAAAAAATCGGGATAGGCGCGATTAATTAGTTACTAAACGGAAGTTAATTTCTATGCACGTCCCATCGGATTGTGCTGAAGAGGCTGCGAGATTTTTAGTATCAAAGATAGCGGACCTCACGAGTTTTTTTCGAAACGGCTGCGGTGAAAAAATTGGGATGGGCGCGATTAATTAGCGACTAAATCGGTGTTAATTTTTATGGAAGCTTCATTTGATTGTGCTGAAGAGGTTGATTATTGAGTC